TAGGCAGGTCACAGTTTGGTGTGGTCTCTGTAGGGGACGGTGAATGGCAAACAACAAGTCGCATACATCGCTGCATGTCAGCGGACAAGCCACCCTGAAGCGAAGATCGTGCCCCGAGTGTTGTTTTTGTGAGCTTTCTTTCATCTTCTCGTTTGAAAAATTCCGGATTCTTCTCCAGATGTCTGTCTGTGTGTGTCTGTCCCACGTTCTTTGTTCTAACTTGTTACTTGGTTTGTTGCTTCCTGATGGGCTTGTTATTGGAGTTTCTGGCTTTGTGGTCTTGCTGTCTTGCACGACCTTGCTGTTGACGGCCTCGGGTTTGTGAGTTTGAAGGAATAGGACTGTTTAACATGAGCTGCTACTGCAAGCTTGCATCCCTCACGCACAGGCTTGTCATAACAAGGGTGCCTCTCTTGTTCCGGTGTTTGATGTTCAGCAGCAGGTCGATGTGCGCAAGCTCTTGAGTTGCTAAGTAGCCAAAGGTTTCAATGTTTCGCGCTCTGAGCGAACCTATCCTTGGGGAGATGAAGTCGCTCCTGACGTGGGATGAAATGTGCCCCAAGCCCCAAAGGCAAAGGGAATCCAGTACCAACCGCTGCTGTAGTTTGGGTCCCGAGTTCAGAAACCAAAGAAGCTAAAGCCAGCCCTGAGCAGGACTACAGCAAAACCTCCAACTTTGTGTCGTTTGCTGTTCTGGTGCCGGAGAATGATGCGTGGAAGATGTGTGAGGTGTACGATCGCCTCGTAGCCAGGGGAATTATCACCGTCCGCCTTTGGAACAAGCTGACCCCGCCGCATGGCCACGACATGCATCAGTAACTTTGTGGTGATTCGAAGATTCCGAACATGCAGCCCCATATCAGAGAACAGCAAGCCCAATTGCTTGCGCAGAATGTTTTGGTGCAAAGGAAGGCCTACTACGGGGAGTATTCTATGCATGTCCTCATGAAGTGCAAGCTGCAAGCCACTGGCCACATCTTCGAAGTCCGGCTCTGCTTCAGTGCCTTTGCCAGCCAAAAGGAACTTGAATTTCACGTCCATGAATTTCACGTCCATCCCAGAATACTCGGAGGAATCAGTCTTGTCTCGCCTGGCGTCTGCGAGGTGCGTTCTACCACCTGGAGCAAGACTTGAGCTGGCTGTGTGACTGGAGAGAGCTGTTACGTTCGCAGCACCACTTCCTCCCCGGTGAGGAAAACCACTACCAGGGACAGGTTCGGGATAAGGCCCGGGATCCAACAGCCCTGAACCAAACCCCACGCCCCGATCCTTGTAAAAAGGCGAATAACTCTGCTTTGTGTGGGCTCTTCTGAAACAGCCTACAAACTGTTGCAAAGATTGAATGTTTGCGGCTTCAGGGTTGCGGTTGACAGCCGAGCACCTCAGATCCTATTTAGACGAAGTTGCAATGCTCTTGAGCCATCTGCAGATACCGTTCTGCTGCAATTGCGGTTATGCGCCCACGCCGTGCCTTTTAATCTTCACCCCTCCCCCTCCCCCTCCCTCTCTCTCCCCATCTTTCCCTCTTTCCCCCCGAGCTCCAGAAGGCTGGAGAGGTTCTTGAGGTGGAGGTCCTGACGCCCAAGTCCGGGCTTCCTGGCAAACCGGATGGCGAGGGGGCGACTTAGCTATACTTGGCCAGCACATGGGCGTGCGTGTATACACACTTTCCCATGCTTTCCCACATGCTTTTTTTGCACATCTCGTACATTCCATCTACTGGGCTATCGATAGCTATCGATCAAGGTGATGTGCTACGCGGACGGCGGTGACCTTTACCGGGGCCAGTGGGTTCAGGGCAAGAAGCATGGCCAAGGAGCTCAATACTATTGCTCTGGAGACAGCTACCAGGGTGAGTACCAGAATCACAAGACGCATGGCCTGCAGCTGGAAAGTATGGGCACAGTTTTGTGAATAGTAGCAAGAAGCCCTCAAGACCGTCTCGCAACCTGTGTGCCACCTGCTGCAGCCAGGAAGCATGGACAAGGTGTTTACCGCTATGCCGACGGTGATTGCCACGAGGGTCAATACTTGGACGGCCGCAAACATGGCTCGGGTCTGTGACACGACCCAATTTTGAGTTACAGCTCTTCGGTTGGTTGGCTTGGGGGGTGCCTGGGAAACTGGCTGACTTTGAAAACGGGGGCTGGAGGTGTTTTGCACCGCCGCCGACATTCGACTTGCATATCTAGTCTTCTACAGCCTTGGCCGTAGAGGTTCAAGGGTACGTCGGCTGCCTATTGCGATTTTGCGCCCCCACCGAGACCGACATATTGCTTCCTCGCATTCAGAGCGATGGTTCTGCTGTCGATCCGACTATCGATCGATGACCCAAGCCGAGACTAGCAAGACTAGCTGCTGAGATTCAAACTAAAGCTCACACTGGAAAGTGTGTAATCGGGAAGCGCATGAAACATCATAGAGCCACTGGCAAGGGAACTGTAGAACCTGGGAACGGACGGATCGGACGCACAGATTCGGTTGTTGAGTGCTGTGTCTCAAGCATAGGAGAGTGTCATGGTGTCTTGTTGCTTGTGGGATTGCCAAGGTACTGGTACTCAGACGGCCGTGTGCTAGTCTCCAGCTACGACCAGGATCAGCAATCAGGCAGCGATGGCTTGGTGCAACATTTTTGCATCAGCAACACATACTAGTAGCAAGGTCATCTTCTTCCTAATATCAACGGTCATGGGTGTAGGCTATCATTCTCGACCCTATGCGAATGGGTTGCGGCACTCGGTTTCTCTCATGCAAAGGCCAGGCAGCAAGGGCTCGTGGAGTTTCGATCTTGACGATTTCAGGGTACACTGCAACATGTTGTCTGAACTGGACCGGCCGTGGGGATGGCAGGGCCGCGTTGTCCACAGAATTGTGAATCGCAGGCCCCCTCAGACGCCCTCTTTCTCCAGAGTACTCCAGGGCAGAGATGGCAGTCCAAATCTCCCTACGAACAAGCTCAACAAATCTCCCCCGTCCCTTGCGCAGGCCCGAACTTCTCTCAAATTGCCCACTTCCCCACCCCAGAGGACCCGGCGTCGTCTGGAGCACCAACGGTCTTCAGGCTTGGCTCACAGAGTCGGGCATCGAGGCCGGGGCAGCCCTACTCACTGTGTGCATGGATTCTAGTCAGAACTGGTTTGGGCCCTTGTAGGTATCAGATCTGGACCTGGAGACAGCTGACCACAAAGCAAAGGAGATGGGCTTCCCACCCTTCCCTCGGGACTGAGGCATCTGAAGGGTGCAGGGATTCTGGTATCCGTGCGCAGACATACTGCCTTATGAATCTAGGGTTCTACGCATGTTCATGCCGAGGTGAGCTAGATTATGATTTACTGATTTTTCTGGATCAGCCCTCCAAACCTGAACCCTCGAATGCGGGTGCTGGGTGTCGGCAAGTGCGAAACGGCAGTCCAGAAAGGAGTCGAAGTGTCCACGTGTGACTTCGTAGCCAACTCTCCAACGCTGTATGTTGCAGACGTGCCTCCCCAGATTGCTTTGTGTGTGGAATGCTGGCTGAGTGTATCCGTGTCACGCACGAGCAGGCATCCTTTCGCTGCTGCATGCAGCTGTTAACGATCAGAAGCGTGACTTCCAGGTCTGAGGGGCGTCAGACCAGGTAGAACCTGGTTCGTTTGGGGGCCGGCTTGGTCGCAGGAAAGGTCCCTCGGCCCCTGGACTTGGAACGTCGTCCGTTTTGTACATGTCTCGAGGCTGCTGGATGGGATCACCTGCACCTCAAACCTCAAGGCTGGATCAGGTTTTAGACAAGCATGGGTGAGCCGTCGAACTCCAACAACTCTTCAACTCCGAGACGAGTTTCAACAAGAGTCCGGCAGCTCTTGCGGTGCATGAGATGACGGCACCAATGTGTGCTGTGGGCACTGCTGGCAAAGCCACAGACATGACAAAATGTTCATTTTGCCAGCGCCAGAGGGTCCAGTGCTGCAACGCCCTCTCAGTTCCTGCCATTAGGGTCCCTTGTCGCCTTTGAGAATGCGAATTCTTTCTGTGAGTGGGCTCTACCTAGCCCATTGGATCTTCTCAGCAGTACTGCAAGAAGAGCACTCATGCACGCAAACTGATGTAGGCATCATCCTCCACAGTTACCAAAGCCCTGCTAACCAGCGGTCGCCGCAGACCTCTCGAGGGCGAAGTGAGTTCACCGAACGAGGTTTTCCCACTCCTCAAGCCGGTTGATGAGAAGAAGGTTTTGCCGGAGTCAGGGCATCAGATGCTTTAAGGCTTAAAGGCTAATAATTAGGGCTTCAGAGCACCTTGCTCAAATTGCTGAGCCATGGATGTCTCGCAGATGACGGAGGAGGACAGGGGTTGTTTGCTCAAGCCACGGACAAGGCTCAAGCAGGGTGCTTCGCCAGTGTCATGAGACTCGGCAGGTACCTCAAGGCAGGGGCTCAAAGGCTTGTAGGCACCAGTCACCTCAGACGTCAGAGCCACCAAGCTGCAAGGTTTTATCACCCGTTTTGAACGCTCGTGCACAGCAGCAGGCGCGCCATGCAGTGAGCACAGTCATACACATCAAAGAGCCCGGTGCACTAACGGCAACACGAGGCTTCATGAGCTGGTGAATGCAGTTTCCTGCCAGACGAATGTCAGCTAGTAATGCAACAACAAGATCCACATTTGGTATGTGCGGCTGGTCGGAAAGTCTGAAAAACAAGAAGCGGACTGAAAGGGAAACCCACACTCTGTGCAAGCCTGACCTTCAAAAGGCCGCGAGCATGATCCATGTAGAATCACAGGTGTCCGTGACAATTCCTCTGCGGGATGTTGATCGTGGACCTTCAGAGCTTTATCAACGAGACAACATAACGCAAATAGCAGGGCCAACAGTGATGTTCAGCACGGGTACATGTTTCGCCGCGTTTCGCACCTTTCTTGCCATCCAAGTTGACGCGATTCTGGGCACAGAACAAAAAGCGGGTACACTTTGATAATATCATCATCGCTTGTTGAGCATGGTGATTGTCATGAACTGTAGCAGGCTGTCCGGTACCCGAGACAGCCGTGGCAGTCGCAGCATGTCGGCTTACGTCACAGTGTTGCCTGCACACAACTTTTCTGCCGTGGCAGCAGCAACGTCGTTGGTGAAGGTGTAGAAATCGTCAAGTCCTCATTTCCCCTTATTTCCGGTACTGTAGCGGTTGCCGACAGCAGTCTGCAAGACCAGAGGAATCAGCACCGCACTGACCAGTGGTTCTCAGCAGAAAGGCTTGCAAGTGGCCCGCCGACAATCATGGTGGAGTTCGGACCAAAGCTACCAACATCCAAGGTGTAAACAACTTGCTTTCAGGTTATGTTTCTGTGATGTCTCAGTAGCGTCGTTGCAGCAAGTCTCATTTTGCCTCCCGTCCCCAACTCGAACATCTCGAACATCTCGAACAATTTGTGTGAGCATCTGCAGGAGCAGCTGCAGGCTCTTCGGGGGCAGCGGTCAGCATGAAGAGAAAGTTTCGCTCTGCAAATTCACAAGGGGCCCCATAAGGCTCCAGCGAGAGCAACAGACATGTACCAGGCTCTTGAGGCGCTAAGATTCGGACTTGGGAACGGTGCGCGGCTTCATGGGGCTGTAGGCTAAAGACACCTCCAGGCAGCGATGCAGCTTTCCCTCCAAGAGGCGGCTGGTGCCGGGGCGGAGCAGGCGAGGAAAGGGGAATTGGAAGGGAAGGTGCTTTGGGGTTGTGAAGGAATGTGTTTGTTGTTGTTTTGTTGGGTGGGGGGGGGGGGGGGGGGGGGGGGGTGTTGTTATATTCTCTGCTTTCTGTTTCGCTCTAGGTTTTGTTTTTGTCGGTTTCGTTTCTTATTGCTGTTGCCTCGTTAGGTTCGCCTGCTGCTCAGCTACTTTCTCTCTTTGCTGTTTTGTATGTTTTCCTGCACAGGTCCCACTTTTCTCATTATTCTTGGTAGCACTATTCTTATTTAGTCTTACCATTTGTATAGTTTGAAATTGGTACTGGTAGCGCATCTTTGTTAGTATTACTTTGTTCTGGTAGTATTGTTATCCATCGTTTCATTTCTGGCTGGGCTTTAGGATTTAGTTTTTTGAAAGGTAGCTGTGTGGGGGCCCGTGTTATGTACATCTGTGTTGTTCCCTTTTCTTCACAAAGCATAAATGGCATGGTTCGATTCGTTCGGATTGTTGCTTTGAGTTTCTTCTCTGGTGTTTTTTTGTGCATGGGCCCCCTCAACACGTCCTCGTAAATTGTCGAGTCCCCCAAATCTTAACCCCAAGGCCTGCCTAGGATTCCATTCGAGTTTTGTGGATGTTCGATGGATATTTGGAGCATGACAGTTTTAACCTGAGCCGTTTGACACATCCAGAAGCATTGTCTCCTATGGATCTGTTCTTAGAGAAACCAAAGCCCCGACAAAGCTACAAGTGGGTCAAAACTAGTGCCCCCCACGGCATTCCACTCTCCAGATTTCAGGGTTGGGGTTGAGGTCCAGGGTGTCCAGGGTTCGGCGAGTAGCATGGTCGTTGTTACCCTCCCCCCCCCCGGCTTCGCCCAAAGTCCGCGCAAAACTGCCTCACTGCTTATTCTTGCTGACTGCCACCGGAAATCTTAACCTTGGCAGGCATCGCAACTTGGCCGCAGCCCCCAAGGCATTGCCGGGCCGACCAAAGCCTCGCCCTTTCCAAACAAAAGACCCGCAGGCCAGATGGTTTTGCGTTTCAAGGCTTGGGTTGCGGGAAATTGGGGGACCCCGGGGACCGCCGTTCGAGGTCGCCTTCACCGAAGTCCCAAGTGGTCAAGCATTGTATGTGTTTGCAGTTATGTTGGAGGTCAAGTTGAAAGGTCAGCCCCGAAAAGCCGCGGGCGACATGCCTCCTATGAGTGTATCATCCAAATGGTCCACTGGGGCTTTGCATAGCTACTTCTTGGGGCCCTGAGTGGGGCACCTCAAGCATTGCCGGGCCTACTCGTGCATTGAATCTGAGACAGCAGGCTCCACTCTCCAAAACATTCCGCAACCTTATGCCAAGTACTTTCGGTACTCGCAGTGCTCTCCCGCATTTTTCTTTGGATGGAGGATGTGCTGTCGCAACCTTGCCGCGCCTCTGCCAAGAAGAAACGTGGCTTCCCTAGCTTGCGATTTAGGTAATTTACTTGTTAAGGCTTTAACAATTGCCAAGCTTGTGTGTTGCTCAGGGTATTGGGTTTGTTCGTTTGGATGAATGAATGGCTTTGCACCCATCTCAGCGCCATACGCCCGAAGCGCATGAGTAAGGCGTAGACATAACTTCTGCAGAGTCTTTTTTTCCATCTTTGGTAGCCCGCTCTCAAGTTTGACAGGCATAAAAACCCATGACTGAAACGGCCGGCGGTTGCTGCAGTCTAGCGCACCGGAGAAAGCTATGCAGATCTAAGCCCTCACTCGTCCTCAGACTCGCCTCTTCTTGGACCTTTTTTTCGGAGTGGCAAGTTATGAAGGCCCCGAAAGCTGGTAGGTGGTGAGCACGAACGGAGGGCTGCGAGTGGAAATGGAGCAAGATGTATCGCAGATCCTGGCCTAGACATGCCGAATGTTACAAACTGGACTGCTTCGGAGGCTTTTTGGGTTTGGCTTTGTTTGCCTGGGGTCAAAACGCTCAATGCTTGATTGGAGGGCTCTTGAATGAGAACTTGAGCAAAGTCGAGCCAACTGTAACTGCAGTTTTTGCAAGAAGTTTTCTTTCTTCGTGCAAAGTGCATCATCACTGCTTGACCCCGTGGTGGGAGATTCTGCCTCCACTTGAGAGTGAACACAGCTGTGGGGAGTGGTTCTGGCATCCCGTTTTGCGGCAAAGCTCTCCGATGTTGGCTCCAACAAATTGGCGTATCCTCGATCCGGATGGGGCCTGTTTCTGATGCGTTCCGGTCTTGAAGTTTGTTCTGCTTTTGGGTGCCGCCTGCGACCCTTCCCCAAACACGCTGATGAGGGCTGGGTGCGAGCTGCCCCTTCGCAACATTTCGCAACATGACGTCGGCTCATCACCGCGACCCAGAATGCTGCAGGTGCTGAGGCATGTTGCTGCAGAAACTCATCTATCTGGCTCGAGCATGGTCTTTATCTCAAGAACACACACACACACAGACTTGTCTCGCAAAACGGAAGCCCCAGCTTTGAACCCCAGGAGCTCTTGAGGCTCCTCTTCGGCGACCCCCGGAGGTGACGGTATGGTGGGGTATTGCCACGGTATTGATGCTTTACCTGAAGCCCTGAAGC